AAGAGACAGGGTCATTACTATTAATGCTACAAATGCAAACTGCTCTTCATGATGCGAAACGCACAACTGCTCCTCCCGGTATGCGGTGTAAACCACTGCGTGTCAAGCTGCCTACAGAAACACCGAGGTGAGCAAAACTAAAAGAATGTCACTTACAGCTACTGGCTGTGTGTGCTGAGCTCAGTTTGCCACGCCGTCTACAGGCACCTGAGACCAGAAGCACCCGCCCACTAACTCATGCCTTCACCAAGTGCCCAGTAGGTTTAGCCCCCGTTCCGTGCCCAAATGTGGGAGCAGCCTCCAAGATGGCCCTGCTGAGCCCCGCCTCCTGCTATTCTGGCCCCTGTCACCCCTGTCATCCCGCAAGGAGTGGTCTGTGTGTCTGACAGCTTGTGACAGATGTGCCGGCTCATCACTTCTGGGATTAGGTGGTAACCAACTGGGCCTTCCATCTTGGATGCCTGTGCTCACTCTCTCCGATCTCGGCCTTAGGGCAGCCCTGCTGTGAGCAGCCCTACATAGAGGTCCACGTGGCAGGGAACTGGGCCTATCGCCAACACCCACAGGAACTACCTTGCAAGTGGATTCCCCAGCTGCTGGCGCAACGGAGTCTTGAGAGAACTACAGTCCATGTGAGCTAACGAGACCGAGCCAGAACCAGCCACCTAAACTGCTCCTGTATTCTTGACCCTCAGAATTGGTGTGAGGTTATAAATGTTTTCAGCTGCTAAGTTTTGGGGCAATTTCTGATGTAACTGTAGCTATCGAATAGACCAGGGAACAAAGGCATTCAGCCTACTGAGAAGAGAGGGGCTCAAAATAAGTGCTTAGGTGCAAAAAGCAGAGACGAGGTTTCTTGATAACCACTTTTATTATTTATTTATTTATCTATTTAAAGACAGGGTTTCACCATGTTGGCCAGGCTGGTCTTGAACTCCTGACCTCAGTTGATCCGCCCGCCTCGGCCTCCCAAAGTGCTGAGATTATAGGCGTGAGGCCATCATGCCCAGCCAATAACCACTTTTTTTTTTTTTGAGGCGGAGTTTCGCTCTTGTTACCCAGGCTGGAGTGCAATGGCGCGATCTCGGCTCACTGCAACCTCCGCCTCCCGGGTTCAGGCAATTCTCCTGCCTCAGCCTCCTGAGTAGCTGGGATTACAGGCACGCGCCACCACGCCCAGCTAATTTTTTGTGTTTTTAGTAGAGACGGGGTTTCACTATGTTGACCAGGATGGTCTCGATCTCTTGACCTCGTGATCCACCCGCCTTGGCCTCCCAAAGTGCTGGGATTACAGGCTTGAGCCACCGCGCCCGGCCAATAACCACTTTTAAAGAAATTAAGCTATAATCTACACACCATAAAAGTCACCCTTTTAAAGTCACCCATTACCACTGGCTCCCTGTTTGTGTCTCCTCAGCTGCCTTCTCTCCTCTCCCACTTGGGTGCCTGGGGTCCAAGCCTGGGCCTTTAGCTCTCCTCTGTCCATGGCCATTCCTCTGGTGACTGCATCCAGTCTGATGGATTTAAATGCCCCGGATGTACTGGCGACTCCCAGGTTGACACCTCCAGCCACGGCTTCTCCCCTGGACTCACATACCCACCTCCCACTGTGTCTGATGAGCACCTCACACCCCCAGAGGCTCCTCATTTCTCCCCATGGCTGCGTCTCTCACACTCCTCCCTCTCACGAGGGCAACTTCATCCTCCCAGTTGCTCAGGCCCCAAACCTGCATCAGTTTTGACCCTCCTTCTCTTGCACACTACTCAGCCAACCCATCGGCAAATCCTATTGGCTCTCCCTTCAAGGGATCCAGGATCTAACCACTTACATCCTGCAAGCCACCACCTTCTCTTGCCTGGATTACTTCGAACACTCGACCCTCACTCTTGCCTTTCTTTCCTGCATGGCAGCTAGAGGAATTCTGTTAACACGTAGGTCAGAAGATGTCTCCATTTTGTGGAAACTCTCCAAGAGCTTCCCATTTCCTTCAGAGAAAAAGCCAAACTTCTCACAGTAGTGGGCAGGGTGCCTGGAAAGGCAGGGCAATGCGACCTCCTCCTGCCTCTCGGAATCTACCTCTCTGGCTCTTCCCCCATTAACTCTTCAACCACACTCCACTTCCCTGCAGTTCCTGGAATGTACCAGGCTCAAGCCTGCATCCTCGTCCTTGTGTGAGCTGTGCCCTCACTTCCTTCATGTTTCCATGCAAACACCACCTCAGGAGAGAGGGTCTCTTTCCTTAGGAGTGAGGATCGCCCCTTTGCCGGTTGTGGTGGTGTGAGCCTGTAGTTCTAGCTACTTGGGAGGCTGAGGCACGAGAATCACTTGAACCCAGGAGGCGGAGGTTGCAGTAAGCTGAGATCGTGACACTGCACTCCAGCCTGGGCAACAGAGTGAGACTCTGCCTCAAAAAATAAAAGAAAAGGCCGGGTGCGGTGGCTCAAGCCTGTAATCCCAGCACTTTGGGAGGCCGAGGCGGGCGGATCACAAGGTCAAGAGATCAAGACCATCCCGGTCAACATGGTGAAACCCCGTCTCTACTAAAAATACAAAAAATTAGCTGGGCATGGTGGCACATGCCTGTAATCCCAGCTACTCAGGAGGCTGAGGCAGGAGAATTGCCTGAACCCAGGAGGCGGAGGTTGCGGTGAGCCGAGATCGCGCCATTGCACTCCAGCCTGGGTAACAAGAGCGAAACTCCATCTCAAAAATAAATAAATAAATAAATAAATAAATAAATAAAAGAAAAAAGAAAAAAAGAAAAAATGTATTCTAAGCCATCTGATGCTGCTGCTATAGAAATATTCCAGTGATTCTGAACTCAGCACCTCTCTTGGAAGCCATCCCATTGTGAAAAACTCAGCAAGCTTCTGTACCTAATTTGCTTTTAGCTTTGGCCTTGGGTCCACAGGGAACAAATGTTCTGCTTCCTCTCCCACCGTATTTCCTTTAGATCATCCTGGAGACTGTGACTGTGCACTTCCGCCCTGTCTGCTTTGCTCACTCTTCAGGGACCCAGCTGCTCACTGTTTTGGTCACCTTTTCTGTACTCGCTTCACCGTGGGTCTTTCCCTCTTAAAGCGTGAATCTGTACTTGAACACAGCGTTGGAGGGGTGGTTTCATGTAGGTAGGTAGAATGGAGGAAGTCCCACTGCTTTTGTAAAAACTTTCCCACCTACTTAAACCCAAGTTTTATTATGGAAAATGCCAAGCATACAAAAGTAAAGAGAACTCTAGTGAACTCTTTCAATTACCCCTTCCCAGGTTCAACAGTTACCAACTCCTGGTTAATTTTGGCATCTGCATTGCTTCTCGCCCAACTCTGATTATTATTACTTTCTTAAATTAATACTTTAATACAAACTTTATTTTCTAGTGCAGTTTTAGTTTCACATCAAAATTGGGTGGAAGGTAGAGAGTTCCCGTATGTCCCCTGCCCACGTCCCCACAGCCTTCTATCAATATCCCCCACCAGGCTGGCACAATCCTTACAATCAATGAACCTACACTGACAAATCATTGTTATCCTCAGTCCATAGTTTACATTAAGGTTCACCTTTGGTGGTGTATATTCTACGGATTTGGACAAACTTAAAATGACATGTATCTACCATTGTATTATACATACAGAATAGTTTCACTACCCCCAAATTCCTCTGAGCTCCAACTATTCATCCTTTCCTCCCAAATCCCATGATCTCTCATCTATCTTTTTACTGTCTCCATAGATTTGCCTTTTCCAGAATGTCGAAGTGGGAAACATACAAGATGTAGCCTTTTCTATTTGGCTTCTTTTACTTAGTAACATGTATGTAAGTTTCTTCCATGGCTCTTCGTGACTCATTTCTTTCTATTGTATAGATGTGCTACAGTTCATGTAACCGTTCACATGCTGAAGGACATCTGGGTTGCTTCCAAGTTTTGGCAATTGTGGAACAATTCTTTTTTTTTTGAGACGGAGTTTCGCTCTCGTTACCCAGGCTGGAGTGCAATGGCGCAATCTCGGCTCACCGCAACCTCCGCCTCCTGGGTTCAAGCAATTCTCTTGCCTCAGTCTCCTGGGATTACAGGTGCGCGCCACCATGCCTAGCTAATTTTTGTATTTTTAGTAGAGACGGGGTTTCACCATGTTGACCAGGATGGTCTCGATCTCTTGACCTCGTGATCCACCCGCCTCGGCCTCCCAAAGTGCTAGGATTATAGGCATCAGCCACTGCGCCCGGCCGGAACAATTCTTTAAATAGAGTTAGACCCAGTTTTTCTTTTTCGGGGTCGTGGTGAGACATGAGACCCAGGTTTAAAACACACGTAAACACTCGTACACACAAATATACACTTCAACCATTTTCAGGCAGAGATTTACAGAGTTTTTGACGAACATAACCTTTTCGGAGCCTCATATCAGCCCAGCGCCTTAAATACGGCTGTTTCTTTTGAGTTCAGGTCAGGTTAGGATATCCATCATCATTTTTCAGAGCTGCTCGCAGCCTGGGGCAATGGTTCAAGCACAGGTTTTGGAGCCGAACTGAGCTGCGCCTGAAGCACTCCTCTTCCCCTTCCCCGCTGCATGACCCTGGACATGTTACCTGGCTCCTCTTGAGCTGCAGGCTGGTCCCCCATAATATAGGGGCTATACCGAAGTTCGAGGGCTATCGTCAGAATTCAGGCTACTAACTGAAGGAACCAGGATCTGAACCTGGGTTCCCCCGCCTCCAAAACCCGTGCTATATTCATTCAGTACAAACGTGATCAACACACAAGGCACCAGGTCGGACCCCGGCACATACATGGCGAGACTGCAGAGAGCAGCGCTCGCTCCGCGTCCTCCCTTCAATCCATATCCCGGGTCTCACCCGCTCCGGGCCCAGAAGGTCTCAGGATGCCGCGGCTGCACGCGGACGCCAGCCGCCCGAAGGTGACTGTCAGGGCTGTTGCCGCCATGGCCGCCGCCATCTTCCCGCAGCCCCGGCCGGAAGCGGAAGCGGAAGCGACGCCAACTTCCTGCGCAACGCACCGGCCCGGTGGGGAACGCCGGTCCGGCTGTAACACCGCCCCGGCGCGGAAGCGGGACGTCTGCGGCTCTGGGCCCAAGCTGGCGGCGGCGATGGCCTCGGCGGCTGTGGAAAGCTTCGTGGCCAAGCAGCTGGAGCTACTGGAGCTCGAGAGAGACGCGGAGGTGGAGGAGCGAAGGTACAGGCGGCCGCCGGCGCCGCTCCCTCGCGGTCGGTCCCGCGGTGTCCCGGGCAGAGTCTCCGAGGGGCTCGGCCTCAGGGCCTGGGGCGGGAATGTCGTCTCCGACCCCGAGTCCGGGCCCGGGACCGTCCGTCCCCTGCTCGGCCACCTCCCGAGTTGTCAGTCTCGTCACCCCCCGGGCGGCGCGTTCCGTTTTGGGACCCTTAAGAAGCCCTTTCAAGGCCGGGCGCGGTGGCTCACGCCTGTAATCCCAGCACTTTGGGAGGCCGAGGTGGGTGGATCACGAGGTCAAGAGATCGAGACCATCCTGGTCAACATGGTGAAACCCAGTCTCTACTAAAAATACAAAAAATTAGCTGGGCATGGTGGCACGTGCCTGTAATCCCAGCTACTCAGGAGGCTGAGGCAGGAGAATTGCCTGAACCCAGGAGGCGGAGGTTGCGGTGAGCCGAGGTTGTGCCATTGCACTCCAGCCTGGGTAACAAGAGCGAAACTCCGTCTCAAAAAAAAAAAAAAAAAGAAGCCCTTTCATTTCTCGAGCCGAGACCTCGCAACGCTTACACCCTGGGCTCCGGCCCCGACCCCAGTCCCGCCCGCAGCGGGTTAGCAGCCCTTTCCCTTATTCATCCAGTAAACATGGTGTGCGCCCGTTCTGTGCCAGGCCCCGGCAGCGCGAGTCAGGTGCAGCGGCTGCCTCGGATCCGGCCAGCTGCGGGCTGGGCCTGAGCGGAGTCCCTTCCCCTCCAGCGCCTCCGGGGCCGGCGGCGTGCTCGTTGCGGGGAACGAGCCTGGAGGAGGAACGCCCTTCCCCGGGGAGGGTCAAGGTGGCTTCAAGGAGCAGGTGGTGCCTGAAGGAAAATTGGGGTTCAGCGGATGGATGCGGGGTGGGGGGAGGGGAGCAGCCCTGAGAGGTGTCGGGAGCCACGTGAGAGCTGGCCTTGATTCCGAATGGGATTATTTATTTGTCCAAAACGAACAGAGCTAACACACACAGCTAACCACCATGCGTTAATTCCTATGCACATCTCTGCCAACCCTGCAAGGTAGGTTTCTATTACTGTCATTTTCCGTCTAAGGAGATGGAGACAGAGGGGTTAAATAACTTGCCCAGAGTGACACGCTGTCGTCCGATTTGCCATCAGGCAGTCTGCTTCCAGAGTTTGTAGGCAGCCATAGGTCGGCAGAATTTGTCCGAGAGGCTTTTGATCCTGGCGATTGAGAGCTTTTGCAGTTACTTGACTTTATCAGAATCCCGGCTCCTTCATGTGTGGCTGTGTGGCTTCGCAGGTTCTGGCTGGGAGCCTTACTTACTTCCTCTGTGAAAGTGGGATGATTCCCACCTGACAGGTTTGCTCGGAAGGAAACGATCCCGTCAGTCAGGTGCTCAGAACTGTGCCAAGGACAGAGTCAGCCCCCGTGGCAGTGGCTCTTCCTGAGAATGCTGAGCAGACTGGCAGGGAGAACCGGGAAGGGCCTGGCTAAGGAGCCAGCCTTCTGTTCAGTGTGTGCGGATTGGCCATCAGCGGAGTTAAGCAGGAGAGGGAGGCGAATAGATTTGCATTATTAGGAGGGTCTCTGGGTCTCCTGTATTTGATTGGACTAGGAGAGGCCAGAAATAAGGTGATCGAAAGGCTTTTTAGCCCAGGTGAGCAGTGATGTGGATTTGAACCAGGGCGGTGGCAGGCAGGATAAGAGGCAGAGAAGTCCAGGTAGAAATAGGGGGAGCCTGAGAGGACTGAGCGACAGATGGGAGTAGAGCAAGGAGCACCAATGGCAGCATCTGTCCAGGTAACCTGGAGAAGGGTGGTGGCATTATCTGCCCGAGGGGGATGTAGAAGGAGCAGGGTTTGGGAGTGGAGCAGATTCAGGGTTCCGTGGGGACAGATTTAGTGCCCGTGAGTAGATCTTTATCTGTGTTTCTTTCCCTTTTACTTTTCCTGCATGGGTGGAAGTAGAAACTGGTAAAAATCCTGAAGCATCAATACCAGGTGTCTTCCAGGTCCTGGCAGGAGAACATCTCCCTGAAAGAGCTCCAGAGCCGAGGCGTCTGTTTGCTGAAGCTGCAGGTGTCCAGCCAGCGCACGGGGCTGTACGGACGGCTGCTGGTGACCTTGGAGCCCAGGCGATGCGGTTCTGCGGCAGCTCTTCCCAGTAACAGCTTCACTTCCGGTGTGTGCGTATTCACCCAGACAGACGCTGAAATTGACTGGCATTCAGACCGCCTTGTACCCTCATAGAGACTGGATTACAATGACCAGTTTGAGAATAAAGCATTGCGGTGAAGAACTCTTAATCAGAAATCCAACAATTGATGTGGGTTTTGGTTGTCTAGATTAGCATTGTCCAATATGGTAGCCATTAGCAGTGCGTGGTCATGAAGCGTTTCAAGTGTGCCTTGTGATTGACAGATATAGAATACACAACAGATTTGGAAGATTATATTAAGAATAGTTGGGAATATCTCGAGTGATTTTTTTTTTTTTTTTTGGAATACTGATGACATGTTGAAGTATTTCTCATATATTGGGTTAAATATGTTGTTATTAAAATTTACCCATTTCTTTAAAAAAATTTTTTTTTTTTTTTTGAGCTGGAGTCTCACTTTGTAACCAGGCTGGAGTGCAGTGGCATGATCTTGGCTCACTGCAACCTCCGCCTCCTGGGTTCAAGCTGATTCTCCTGCCTCAGCCTCTTGAATAGCTGGGACTATAGGCGTGTGCCACAATGCCCAGCTGCTTTTTTTTTTTTTTTTTCCCCTGTATTTTTAGTAGAGATGGAGTTTCACCATATTGGCCAGGATGGTCTCGAACTCCTGACCTCAGGTGATCCACCCACCTCAGCCTCCCAGAGTGCTGGGATTACAGGCATGAGCCACCGCGCCTGGCTTCTTTTACATTTTTTAATATAGCTACAAGAAAACTTAAAACTACGCGCAACTGGGTGCCTGTAATCCTAGCATTTTGGGAGGCCGAGGTGGGTGGATTGCTTGAGCTCAGGAGTTCAAGAGCAGCCTGGGCAACATGGCAAAACCCCATCTCTACAAAAAATAGAAAAATTAGCCAGATGTGGTGGTGTGCACCTGTAGTCCCTGCTACTTGAGGGGCTGAGGCAGGAGGATCACTTGAACCTGGTATGCTGAGGCTGCAGTGAGCCGAGATCACACCACTGCACTCCAGCCTGGGGACAAAGTGAGATCCTGTCTCAAAACAAAAAACAAAACAAAACAAAACAAAAACTGCATGTGACTCGCATTAACGTTTCTGTGTAACAGACAGCCTTGGTCCCAGCTGTTGAACATGCAGTCTGTATCCTTCTGTATTCCCAACCCTTTCTTGTGCCAAGCATTTTTTGGCTAAGCTTGTGCCAGCCTGGTTGGAAAGGAGGGGCGGTTAGGAGAAGCTTCTTAACCACACACCTGGGACGCTTGTGTTAGACGGCCACCGACCCAGGAGCCTGGAGGAAGCAACATTGCCAGGGCCGTCCTTTTTACTATAAAAGTGTCTCTGCCTCAGGACAGAGGTGGTGATGGAGTTTTGAATTTCATATTTTAATATCGTAGACTTTTGCCCAGCAATGAGGAATACCGGCTGGATTTGGAGAAGATGAGATGAGGGTGTCGAGAGAGGAGAGGCCAGGAGGGGAACCCGCACATTGGAGTCCTATTTGAGATCTTTTTTTTTTTTTTTTTTTTTAAATTTAATTTAATTTTATTTATTTATTTATTTTTTTGAGACGGAGTTTCGCTCTTGTTACCCAGGCTGGAGTGCAATGGCTGCGATCTCGGCTCACCGCAGCCTCCGCCTCCTGGGTTCAGGCAATTCTCCTGCCTCAGCCTCCTGAGTAGCTGGGATTACAGGCACGCGCCACCATGCCCAGCTAATTTTTTGTATTTTTAGTAGAGACGGGGTTTCACCATGTTGACCAGGATGGTCTCGATCTCTTGACCTCGTGATCCACCCGCCTCGGCCTCCCAAAGTGCTGGGATTACAGGCTTGAGCCACTGCGCCCGGCCGACTTTGAGATCTTAACACTTGCTTGTTATGTGGCCTAGAGTTAGTTACTCACCCTCCAAAGACTGTCAACAGCCGTACCTTGTGGCTTTGCCATCAGGATGGAAAGTGTGTACAGGCGGGTTGAAAACTGTGAAATGCAAAGGTCAAAACGTGTATTTATGGCTGGGCGCAGTGGCTCACACCTATAATCCCAGCACTTCGGGAGGCTGAGGTGGGTGGATCATGAGTTCAAGATATCGAGACCATCCTGGCAAACACGGTAAAACCCCACCTCTACTAAAAATACAAAAATTAGCCAGGCATAGTGGCGGGTACCTGTGGTCCCAGCTGCTTGGGCGGCTAAGGCAGGAGAATCGCTTACATCCAGGAGGTGGAGGTTGCAACGAGCTGAGATCACGCCACTGCACTCTAGCCTGGTGACTCAACGAGACTCTGTCACAAAAAACAAGAGTGTGTGTATATATTCAGTAAGCATTGTGGAGTGCATGACCTAAGAGATTAATAAGAGCTGATAAACAGGAAGTCAGAAGAAGTGGCGTTTTATGCAGAAAAGTAGCAAGCTGAAATTGTGGTTGTTGATTAGCTTCAGGGAGAGTGGTTATCTGTTCCTTTTCTGAGGAGCAGTCTTAAGTCTCAGTAGCTCAGAGATATACATCTGGAAATGTGGGGTTCTACACCAGCCAGCTCGTGGAAAGGTTGCGGAGGGATGGGATCCTCTAGCCCCTTGGCAGTCCCTGTGCACGGAGCCAACCCTCTGTCCCACGAGCTTGTTGCCACCTATGCTTTGTCTTTATAAAGTTAGGAAACGTGATTCAAGGTGCAGATGAAACTCGGTGTCTAGAAGATTTCAGACATGGGGATTACATGGCGTGTACACAGCTGTGGGTGATCCCGCGCTTTTATCTCACAGGGGATTGTGTCCTCACTGCCTATGTTCTGAGTGACGAAAATCTGAGTCAGACTGGCTTTTTTATTGTTTTTTGCCCTCCTGCCCCCCCTGACTGAGTGATGAAAATCTGAGTCAGGCAGGCTTTTTTTTATTTTTTATTTTTGCCCCCCCTGCCACCCAACTGGCTTAAGCAGGAAGGGACCCTCGTCAGTTGTGACTGGAAGGCTGGCTTCAGGACCCAGAGGAGCATGCCAGGACTTAGTTTCTCTCCATTTCTTGGCTCTGCCCTCTTCTTGGCTCTCCCCTCTGCCCTCTTCTTCGTATTTTTTTTTTTTTTTCCATCCGTCTTAGAGTTTAAGTCTTTCACTGCTGCTCAGGCTGCACTGCAGTGACAGAATCATGGCTCACTGCAGCCTTGAACTCCTGGGCACAAGTGATCCTCCTGCCTCAGCGTCCTGAGTAGCTGGGATTACAGGTGTGAGCCTCTGTGCCTGGCTGGGGTGGATCTTCATCTCAGGTGCCACATGGTAGCAGTTCTAGCCCCTAATCCTCTCAGGTTTCCCGTCTAGCTGGAGAGAGGGAGCGTCTCTATCCAGATGCCCAAGCACAGGTCTTCACGCATCTCAGGCCTGTGACTTGGTCTCATGCCCATCCCTGAAGCAATCACGGTGGCCAGGGGCACGCGAAGCAGTGAACGGCTTAAGCCTGGACTGGGGGAAACCCCTTGGACTCACCTGACAGGTGGGAGACACAGGACAGTTGTCCTAGGCAGTAGGAAGGGCTGTGCTGTGTGGGCGTTTCTGCATGGAATGTTCTTTTCCAGATGTGTTGTGACACTTGCTTCTTTCCACATCCTCCGCTCCCCACGGGGCCCTTCCTGCACACTGCAACTGGAACGGCGTCCTCATCCCTCCATCCCCTTCCTGTGCTTTATTTTTCCTAGAGCACTTAGCACTGATGGAGATGCTTATGTTCGTCGTTTCTCTCCTCCCTGACATGAGGGCAGGGACTGTCCTTGTAGCACGGACTAGAGCCAAAACTTGTAGCCACTGACTAGTGCTTGGTACAGAGTCGGCACTTTCGATGTTTTACTGAGTCTCATGCCTGCTTTGAAGAGTTCATTAATCTCAAGTCAATTTTTTTACATGACTTAGGTGTTAAACTTTTTTTTTTTTTTTTTTTTTTTTTACTGTTACTGATTGCATTTACTAAAGAAAGTAACAAAGATAAACTATTTGAAGTGTACTGGATTTTATTATGTAAAACCATATTGAACCTTTCTCCAGTGTCTTGTATAACTGAGTTTTCGCTTTTTGCAGGTGATATAGTGGGCCTGTACGATGCTGCTAATGAGGGCAGTCAGCTGGCCACCGGGATCCTGACCCGAGTCACCCAGAAGTCAGTCACGGTGGCCTTTGATGAGTCCCACGATTTCCAGTTGAGCTTGGACCGAGAGAATTCCTACAGACTGTTAAAACTTGCCAATGATGTCACTTACAAGCGACTGAGAAAGTAAGCGGATGTGGCTGGAAATCGTAAGCATCATGTTCCTTAAACATAGCTAGCCCATTCCTCCCATGCCTGCCTCACAAAAGAGAGCAAGCAGGTCACTGTGTGGCTGTCCAGTGAGTTGGTGGCAGCATGGGGGCCTGAGGCTCGGGCACTGAACTGCTGCTGTTTGCTGAGTTTCTAATTGTAGTTTTCTCCCTTGGCAGAGCTCTGACTGCTCTAAAGAAGTATCATTCTGGCCCAGCCTCCTCACTCATAGAAGTGCTCTTCGGCAGATCTGCTCCCAGTCCTGCCAGTGAAATACGTAAGAACTTCTGAGTTTTCTTTTTTGGTTGAAATCGCTGCTGAAAGTATCAAGAACAATGTGACCATGGGCCGTTCGAGTAAGAGTTTGAGAAAGCGTGACTGGAAGCAGTCTACCTGGACGTCTTTGTAGAAATGTCTCTGAGCGGCGGCATGCACAAGACTGTCCTCCTTGTTCTCAGTCCTAATGAAGTAGCTCATTCCATTGAGGTTTTTATTTTAAATTCTTTTTTGGGCAGAGGATGGAGTCCTGCTCTGTCACCCAGAGTGGAGTGCAGTGGCGCGGTCTTTGCTCACTACAACCTTCACCTCCCAGGCTCAAGTGAGTCTCGTGCCTCAGCCTCCCAGATAGCTGAGATTACAGGCACACACCACCATGCCTGGCTAACTTTTGTATTTTTAGTGGAGACAGGGTTTTGCCTCGTTGGCCAGGCTGGTCTCGAACTCCTGACCTCAAGTGATCTACTCACCTCGGCCTCCCAAAGTGTTGGGATTATAGGTGTGAGCTACCATGCCTGGCCTCCATTGAGTTTTAAAATAATGTTCTTTTAATGTACATAAATCTTTTTTTTTTTTGAGACAGAGTTTTGCTCTTGTTGCCCAGGCTGGAGTGCAATGGCTCAATCTTGGCTCACCTCTGACCCCCAGGTTCAAGCGATTCTCCTGCCTCAGCCACCCAAGTAGCTGGGATTACAGGCATGTGCCACCATGCCCGGCTAATTTTTTGTATTTTTAGTAGAGACGGGGTTTCACTGTGTTGGCTAGGATGGTCTCAATCTCTTGACCTCGTGATCCACCTGCCTCAGCTTCCCAAAATGCTGGGATTACAGGCGTGAGCCACCGCGCCCGGCCTTACATAAATCTTTTATTTTGAAATGTAAAGATATTTCTTTTTTTTTTTTTTTTTTTTTTTTTTTTTGAGACGGAGTTTCGCTCTTGTTACCCAGGCTGGAGTGCAATGGCGCGATCTCGGCTCACCGCAACCTCCGCTTCCTGGGTTCAGGCAATTCTCCTGTCTCAGCCTCCTGAGTAGCTGGGATTACCGGCACGTGCCACCATGCCCAGCTAACTTTTTGTATTTTTAGTAGAGACGGGGTTTCATCATGTTGACCAGGATGGTCTCGATCTCTTGACCTTCTGATCCACCCGCCTCGGCCTCCCAAAGTGCTGGGATTACAGGCTTGAGCCACCGCGCCCGGCCAAGATATTTCTTTTAGCTTAGTACTTTGTGAAAATAGAGGAGAATTGATCATTTTTTATGCTTGATAGCAATTTTTGGTTGGAAAAAAAGCTCAGTTTTTTTTTTGTCGATAGGGACCCTGGAATGGCTTGGTTATAGCACAGGAACACGGGGTTCGATGGCCTGTTACTAGCTCCACACCTGCCTGTCTTCCATGCTGGCTTCAGTCTCACCAGTCAGGGTCAGCAAGCACCCTTTGCTTACGAGCTGCTCCTCATCCGACAGGTGTCTCTGTGTGGTGGGCACCATGGAGCGAATGCCGTGGCTGCAAGGCTGAGCACAGCGGCACCTGCTCTTAAGAGCATAGCAGAAAAAGCAGGTCTTTAGTCTTGGTCGTGGAAGATTCAGAACAAAAACATGATCCTAGAATTTGTTAGTCTTTTTTTTTTTTTTTTTTTTAATCATTTGTCTTTATCATTTTATGGGAACTGAAAAGAGGGACAATATGGTAGAAACAAATGTGCTCCAGGATCATTTCCTTCATTCCTGTTACTTTAGAGCAGGTGTTGGCAAACTTGCCATAAAGGGGTGGATTGTGAATGTTTAGACTTTATGGCCCATGTCATAGCAGCGGGCAGCTGTAGATGGTATATAAATGAACAGACGTGGCTGTGCTCCAGTGCAACTGACCAAAACAGGGAGCACTCTGGATGTGGCCCACACTTTGCTGATTCCCGTTCAAGGAGAAGCCTTTTGAAAATAAAGCAGACTGACTTTTGTGTTGATTGATTACCCCTGGGGAGGTCCAGTGTGTTCCTGACAGGCCTCACTTATCCCCGCGGGCGCACGCTCCCTGAGGACCGGCAGAGTGCTGGAGTCTTGCTCTGCTGCTGCTTCCACAGACCCGCTGACGTTCTTCAACACCTGCCTGGACGCCTCCCAGAAAGAAGCGGTTTCATTTGCGCTGTCGCAGAAGGAACTTGCCATCATCCATGGACCTCCTGGCACTGGGAAAACCACGACTGTCGTTGAGATAATTCTTCAAGCTGTGAAACAAGGCTTAAAGGTGGGCAGTGCATGCTACTTCCCTGGCAGAGCCCGTCAGTTCCTGGTCTGTCATGTTCAGCAGGTGCTCAGCCAGATTCAGCCTCAGTTCTAGGGGGAAGGGTCAGGAGCATTGCTGAGCATTTACTGATTGAGCATTGGACTGGCCTTGTTTGATTTCCAGCAACCCCATGAGTCTTGGGGAACACGCGCAGGAACCACAGCCTGCATTGTGGAAAAAGGCTCCTGGAGCCCTCTGGCGTGGCAGCCTTAGTGTGGGGCCGGGCCCACACTCCTGACCTTCCTTTGCTCACCATGCTGGCTGTGCTCACACTCCCTACTGTGCAGGCCCATGTGGGGGCCTGGAGTTGGCCCAGGCCTGGTCTGTGCCCGTCAGGAGCTCAGCGTCTGGTTGAAGGACACGGTATTGTTACGGCTCATCAGATGGTCTGCTTAATGGCTATGATGCACATGTCCAGCGCACGGGTGACTGATTTTCTGGGATGTGGAATATAAGATTGTACATTATTATTCACTTACATTTTAATTTTATTTTTATTTTTTGAGACGGAGTCTCACTCTGTCACTCAGGCTGGAATGTGGAGTGCAGTGGTGGGATCTTGGCTCACTGCAACCTCTGCCTCCTGGTTCAAGTTCAGTTCTCTTACCTCAGCCTCCCAAGTAGCTGGGATTACAGGTGCCCGCCACCATGGCTGGCTGATTTTTCTATTTTTAGTAGAGATGGCATTTCACCATGTTGGCCAGGCTGGTCTCGAACTCCTGACCTTAGGTGATCTGCCCACCTCAGCCTTCCAAAGTGCTTTGATTACATGTGTGAGCCACTGCGCCTGCCCCAGCTACGTTTTAATGGTTGAAAAAGGATCTTTTTATCATCATCTGCATCAGTTTGAGTCATTATGGATCTTAGCACATGGAGAGCTTTATTATTTATTTATTTATTTTATTTTATTTTTTATTTTTATTATTTTTTTTTTGAGACGGAGTTTCGCTCTTGTTACCCAGGCTGGAGTGCAATGGCACGATCTCGGCTCACCGCAACCTCTGCCTCCTGGGTTCAGGCAATTCTCCTGTCTCAGCCTCCTGAGTAGCTGGGATTACAGGCACGTGCCACCATGCCCAGCTAATTTTTTTTTTTGTATTTTTAGTAGAGATGGGGTTTCACCATGTTGACCAGGATGGTCTCGATCTCTTGACCTCGTGATCCAACCGCCTCGGCCTCCCAAAGTGCTGGGATTACAGGCTTGAGCCACTGCACCCGGCCTATTTTATTTTTTTTTAAAGATGGAGTTTCACCATATTGGTCAGGCTGGTCTCAAACTCCTGACCTCAGGTGATCTGCCCACCTCAGCCTCCCAAAGTGCTGGGATTACAGGTGTGAGCCACCGCGCCTGGCTGTGGAGAGCTTTTTGAAAAGCCTTTCTGGTTTATAAAAATGTTGGATAATGATGAGAATTGGAATAATGGCAAGTTTTGTAGGGTGACATTTACTGGGCGCTGCCTACCAACAGGCATCCTTCTGAACACCCATTTAATCCTCACAGAAACCCTGTGCCAAGGCAAGTGGTTAGTGGCCCCAGTTTATAGATGAGGAAGCCGGGCGTTATGGCTCACGCCTGTGATCTCAGCACTTTGGGAGGCTGAAGCGGGTGGATCACCTGAGGTCAGGAGTTTGAGACCAGCCTGGCCAGCATAGTGAAACCCTGTCTCTACAAAAAATACCAAAAATTAGCCAGGCGTGGTGGCGGGCACCTGTAATCTCAGCTACATAGGAAGCTGAGGCAGGAGAATCTCTTGAACCCAGGAGGTGGAGATTACAGTAAGCAGATCACGCCATTGCACTCCAGTCTGGGCGACAAAGCAAGACCCTGTCTCACAAAAAAAAAAAAAAAAAAAAAAAAAATGCAAGAATACACAGCGTGGTGACATACATTGGTGATCCATTCATCGGATCTGTTTGCTGCGTCCCTCAGTCTTCCCTCACCCGTGCAGAAGCGCCTGCTCACTGGGCGCGTGTACCTGCCCTGCCCTTCTCTCTGCCTTTAAGGCTTTTTGTTCTTTTGGTGTCCACGTCAGTGATCTGATTACAAAGTAAATGACCGAATCTAAACTTGCGGTTCTCAGGTTCTGTGCTGCGCCCCCTCCAACGTCGCAGTGGACAACCTGGTGGAGCGCCTGGCTCTGTGTAAGCAGCGGATTCTGCGCCTGGGGCACCCCGCCCGCCTCCTGGAGTCCATTCAGCAACACTCCCTGGATGCGGTTTTAGCACGGAGTGACAGTGCCCAGATTGTTGCCGATATCAGGAAGGACATCGACCAGGTCTTTGTAGGTGTCGTGGCCAGTGTCCACGTGGGGTGTGGGTTTCTGATCTGCAGTCTTTTTAAGGAGCGAATATTTTATCTGTCAGTATTCCTCTTGCTCTTCTCTTCAGTCGGTTCCTTTAATAATTTAAAAAATTGGGCTGCCCTCCCCGCCCCTTTTGCTTTTTGAGATGGAGTCTCGCTTTGTCACCCAGGCTGGGGTGCAGTTGTGCTATCTTGGCTCACTGCAGCCTCTGCCTCCCGGGTTCAAGTGATTCTCGTGCCTCATCCTCCCAAGTAGCTGTGACTACAGGCATGCACCACCACACCCATCTTTTTTTTTTTTTTTGTAGAGACTGGGGTTCGCCATGTTGGCCAGGCTGGTTTTGGACTCCTGACCTCAAGCGATCCACCTCGGCCTCCCAGAGTGCTGGGATTACAGGTGTGAGCCTGGCCAGGGCTGCCCATTTTTGGTAGAGAGCTATACCTAGCATTTAACAGAGACTCAGCTGTGTTCAAAGTGCTTGGTAAGTAGGTGAGGAATTTTTTTTTTTTTTTTGAGACGGAGTTTCGCTCTTGTTACCCAGGCTGGAGTGCAATGGCGTGATCTTGGCTCACCGCAACCTCTGCCTCCTGGGTTCAGGCAATTCTCCTGTCTCAGCCTCCTGAGTAGCTGGGATTACAGGCACGCACAACCATGCCCCAGCTAATTTTTTGTATTTTTATTTTTTAAATTTATTTTATTTTATTTATTTATTTATTTTTTTAAGACGGAGTTTCGCTCCTGTTACCCAGGCTGGAGTGCAATGGCGTGATCTCGGCTCACCACAACCTCCGCCTCCTGGGTTCAGGCAATTCTCCTGCCTCAGCCTCCTGAGTAGCTGGGATTACAGGCATGCGCCACCATGCCCAGCTAATTTTTTTTTTTTTGTATTTTTAGTAGAGACGGGGTTTCACCATGTTGACCAGGATGGTCTCGATCTCTCGACCTCGTGATCCACCCACCTCGGCCTCCCAAAGTGCTGGGATTACAGGCTTGAGCCACCGCGCCTGGCTAATTTTTTGTATTTTTTTTTTTTTTTTTTGGAGACGGAGTTTCGTTCTTGTTACCCAGGCTGGAGTGCAATGGCGCGATCTCGGCTCACCACAACCTCCGCCTCCTGGGTTCAGGCAATTCTCCTGCCTCAGCCTCCTGAGTAGCTGGAATTACAGGCACATGCCACCATGCCCAGCTAATTTTTTGTATTTTTAGTAGAGACGGGATGGTCTCGATCTCCTGACCTCGTGATCCACCCGCCTCGGCCTCCCAAAGTGCTGGGATTACAGGCTTGAGCCACCGTGCCTGGCTAGGAATTGTAAAGAAAACATTTTCTGGCCAGGTGCGGTGGTTCATGCCTGCAATCCCAGCACTTGGGGAGGCTGAGGTGGGCAGATCAGTTGAGATCAGGACTTCCAGACCGGCCTGGCCCACGTGCCTGCCCAAAAATTAGCAGGCATGGTGGCAGATGCTTATAATCCCAGCTACTTGGGAGGCTGAGGCAGGAAAATGGCTTGAACTCAGGAGGTGGAGATTGTAGTGAGCCAGCATTGCTCCATTGCACTCTAGCCTAGGCAACAAAGCAAGACTTTGTCTCAGAAAACAAAACATTTCCTGGGTGTCTTTCTGTCTGGTCCTGTTGTGTTGGTATTGGTGGCAGTGGGAGAAAAGCAGCCTGAAGATAAACATTCAAAAAACAGGCATCCTCCCAGTGCTCTCTGTTTATTTTACCTTCCTGTGAAAGAGGATGCCAGTCGCCCAGGAAGTAGGGTGTGATGGCCTCATTCCACTTGAGAGGGTCTTTTCCTCCCAGCCGACACTTTACAGCTCTTTGGTTTTCCAGTGTCTGCTTTGCTCCAGTTTCCGTGCTCACATCCTGTCCTGTGTGGTCCCCACTGGCACCAGCACTCCTCCGTGTCCTAGCCTCAGAGGAGTGGCGGCAGCAGGGAGGGTGCGGGGAGCCAGTCTTCGCTGTGGGCCCTTGATGTAGAGGCTGCCAGGCTGGCAGTGTGGGGATGGGCCACCTGCTGGGAGGTGGAAGGAAAGATGCCTGCCACGCAGGTTCAAGTGGCGTGGGAATGTGCGTGCTGTTTGCTCACCACAAACGTGAGTGATCTCATTTCCTATTGAAATTGGTGCTTTGGGGGATATTCTGTCTTTGTAAATGACGCACAGTAAAACACCTCCTGTCACCCCTGCCAAAACTCCATCCTCCAAAGTAGAAATCACAAATAAGGGAAGCTTACATCTTTTTGAGATATTAAAGTAAGCTGAGGTTTTGATTATGGTTGAAAAATTTTTTTAATCTCTTGAAAAATGTAGAATAATAGTGAAGCTCTTTCTCCCAGTTTGCAAGCTCCCACAGCCCAAATCCTGAGGTGGGTAGGTACTTTTTCTTCCCGAAGATCAAATGCCTCTGTGCAGGGCAGGGCTGATCCCATTTCTGGTCTCACCAGAGTTAAAAGCATGGTCTCTTTCCAGGACTTAAAATGTCCCTGTGACTTAAGGCAAGTGAGGATGGAAGGTGCTTTGTTGCGTGTGTGTGTCTGTGTCTCCTTTAAGAAAGGTTTCTGAGTGATTTTTAAGGAGTTTATTGACCTGGACCAAATGTTATAAATAGAAGCACTTCATAAATAGAGTTGAAGTACAAGGTTGGATTGAAATAAGTGTATCTTCTTTATTTCTCTTTATAGGTGAAAAACAAAAAGACCCAGGATAAGAGAGAGAAAAGTAATTTTCGCAATGAAATTAAACTGTTAAGAAAAGAACTGAAGGAGAGGGAAGAAGCAGCTATGCTGGAGAGCCTCACTTCGGCAGACGTGGTCCTTGCAACAAACACGGGTGAGAGGGCGTCTTCATCCTTCCTCTGTGGCCTCGAAGAAGGCGTTGGGGTCTGTTCCTGCTTCTGTTTTCTGGAAGAGTTTGTTTAGAATTGGTATTTCTTTCTTAAAAGTTGGGTAGAGTTCACTAGTGAAGCCTACTATTCAGGTTGTCTTGTATTCCATGAGTTCACATCTTTCTTTGTCTATTTCTTCTACGTTGTAGAATTTAGAGGCATGGAGTGGTTCCTAACATGCCCTTATTCTTCTTTTAATATCTGCAGAATCTGTCATGGTGGAACCTGTATTCTTCTTGATACTGGTTTGTGTGTTCTTTTTTTTCCCTGACCTTCCAGCTGGAGGTTTTTTTTCTTTTATTTAAGAGAGAGTGTGTGTGTGTGTGTGTGTGTGTGTGTGTGTGTGTGTGTGTGTGTATTTTTTTTTTTTTTTAATTTTTTTTGGAGACAGAGTTTTTTTGCTCTTGTTACCCAGACTGGAGTGCAATGGCACAATCTTGGCTCACCGCAACCTCCGCCTCCTGGGTTCAGGCAATTCTCCTGCCTCAGCCTCCTGAGTAGCTGGGACTACAGGCGTGTGCCACCACGCCAGCTAACTTTTTGTATTTTTAGTAGAGACGGCGTTTCACCATGTTGACCAGGATGGTCTCAATCTCTTGACTTCGTGATCCACCCGTCTCAGCCTCCCGAAGTGCTGGGATTACAGGCATGAGCCACCGTGCCCGGCCTATATATATTTTTTTAAGAGACAGGGTGTGCCAGATGTGGTGGTTCACACCTGTAATCCCAGCACTTTGAGAGGCCAACACGGGCGGATCACCTGAGGTCAGGAGTTTGAGGGCCAGTCTGGCCAACATGACAAAACCCCATCTCTACTAAAAATACAAAAATTAGCCAGGAGCTGTGGTGTGTGCCTGTAATTCAGCTACTCAGGAGGCTGAGGCAGGAGAATCGCTTGAACACAGGAGGCGGAGGTTGCAGTGAACCAAGATTGCGCTACTGCATTCCAGCCTGGGTGGCAAAGTGAGACCCCGCCTTAAAGCCCCAAGAAACAAACCAAAAAAAGTGACAGGGTCTCACTTTGTTGCCCAGGCTGGGCTCAAACTCCTGGCTTAAGGGATCCTCCTGCCTTAGCCTCCTAAAGTGCTGGGATCACAGGTGTGAGCCACCGCACCCAGCCTGGCTGGAGGTTTCAATTTACTCTCCCCAAAGAACCAGCTTTTGCTTTTTCTCTGTTGTTTTTCTGTTTCATTTATTTCCACATTGATCTTTACTGTTTTCTGTTTTCTCGGGCTTGTTCTTTTTCAAGCTTCTTAATGTAGAAGCTGAGATCATTGATTTGAGACTTTGCTGTTTTTCTAGTAAAGGCATTTAGCTCCATAAATGTCTCCCCACGTACTGCTTTTGTGGCATCCCACAAATTCTGATACATTTCATTCATTTCAAAATGCTATCTCATTTGCCTTTTGATTTTTTTAGAAGTGTTATATAGTTTCCAAATAGTTGGGAATTTTCCAGATACCTTTCTGTTGTTGATTTCTTTTTGTCTCTTCTCTTCTCTCCTGTCCCTCCCTGCCTGTCCGCGTCCCTGTCGTGTATGGGATCTCATTATGTTGCCGAGGCTGGACTCGAACTCCTGGGCTTAAGTGATCCTTCCAACTCAGTCTCCTGAGGAGTTGGGGCTACTGGCATGTGCCACTGCACCTAGCTTACTTTCTGTTGATTTCCAATTTAATTCCATGTGGTCAGAGGACATACGCTCATGACTTGGATCCGTTCATTGAGATTTTCTTTATCGTCCAGAATCTGGTCTCTGTCTTGGTGGGTGTTCCATGCACACTTGATTGTGTGTTCTGATGTTGTCGGGTGTTCTGTAAGGAAATCAGATCACAACGGTTTGCAGTGTGGTTCAAGTCTGCGCTATTGAGAGAGGGATGTGAAACTTGTGAATCTAACTGGGCATGTCTGTTTTTCCCTGCACTCCTATTGGTTTTTATTGGCTTCATATCTTTGGAAACTCTTTTGTTAGGGTCATAAATGTGGACTGGGCTGTTTTCTTGATTAGTTAACCAGTTTATCATTATGAAATGACCTTCTTTATGTCTGGTAATATTCTTTTTTTTGAAATCTACTTTGATAGTAAAATAATCATTTTAGCATTTCAGCTGAAAAACAATGAAATTTGCTTTTATTATGATCAAAAACATGTAACATAAAATTGACCACTGGCCGGGCGCGGTGGCTCAAGCCTGTAATCCCAGCACTTTGGGAGGCTGAGGCAGGTGGATCACGAGGTCAAGAGATCGAGTCCATCCTGGTCAACATGGTGAAACCCCGTCTCTGCTAAAGATACAAAAAATTAGCTGGGCATGGTGGCACGTGCCTGTAATCCCAGCTACTCAGGAGGCTGAGGCAGGAGAATTCCTTGAACCCAGGAGGCAGAGGTTGCGGTGAGCCGAGATCGCGCCATTGCACTCCAGCCTGGGTAACAAGAGCGAAACTCCGTCTCAAAAAAAAAAAAAAAAAAAAAAAAATTGACCACCGGAGCCCTTTTAAGTCTGTAGCATGGCAGCATTAACTGCATGCCCGTTGTTGTGCGGCACGTCTCTAGAGCATTTTCATCTCGCCAACCTGAAACTCTGTATCCGCTGAACATTGATTCCCTTTTTCCCTGTCCCCAGGTCCTGGCAGTCACCAGTCTACTTTCTGCTTCTAAGAGTTTAATTATTTTAGATGCTTCAATTAAGTGGGACCATGCAGCATTTGTCCTTTTCTGACCGGCTGGTTTTATTGACCTTTATGCCCTCAAGTTTCAGCCGTGTTGTCCAGCCTTCCTTTTATTTTTAAGAGACAAAGTCCCATTCTGTCAACTAGGCTGGAGTGTAGAGGTACAGTCAGAGCTCACTGTAACCTTAAATTTGTGGCCTCAAGCAGTCCTCCCACGTTGACCTCCTGAGTTGCTGGGATTACAGGCGTGGGCCATTGCACCCGTATTTCCATGTGGTATCATTTCCTTCTGCCTGAAAGATGTCCATTATCATTTCTTGTAGTGTGGGTCAGCTGGTGATGAATTCTAACAGCTTTTGTATGTCTGAAAATAACTTGATTTCACCTGCAGTTTTGAAATATATTTTTGCTGGGTGAGAATTCTAGATTAACACTTTTTTTCCTTGCAGTATTTTAAACATGTTGTTCCACCGTCATCTGCATGAGTATTCCTGAAGATAATTCTGTCATTCTTATCTTTGTTCCTTTTTATGTAATGTGTCTTTTTTCTAATGTCTGCATTTAAGATTTTTTTTTGGCCAGGTGCGGTGGCTCATGCCTGTAATCTCAGCACACTTTGGGAGGCTGAGGTGGGCAGATCACCTGGGGTGAGAGTCTGGCCAACATGGTGAAACCCCATCTCTACTAAAAGTATAAGAAAATTAGCTGGGTGTGGTGGAGGGTACCTGTAATCCCAGGCTCTTCAGGAGGCTGAGGCAGGAGTAATCGCTTGAACCTGGGAGGCGGAGATTGCAGTGAGCTGAGATCACACCACTGCACTCTAGCCTGGGCAACAGAGCCAGACTCTGTCATAAAAAGACAAAGAAAAAAAAGAAACCCACATTTTTTTCTTTATCACTGGTTTTAAGCAATTTGATCAGGATTTGCCCTGGTGCAGTTTGCTTCATGTTTTTTAGAATCACAATGAGGACACAGTATGAGATCTACCCTCTGAAATGTTTAAGTGTACAATACGGTATTGTTAACTAATGGCATCGTGCTGCACAGCGGATCTGTGGAGTTCATCTTGCTGAACCTTTATACGTGCTGACTGCCGTTTCTGAGTTCACTAATTTCCTTCCTTCATGCCTCATCTAACATCTGTCCCATCCAGTCTAACTTTCATCTGACATCCAGAAATAAGATTTGATTCTTTTTATATCTTTGATGTCCTTATTTAATTTTTTGAACATTTGGAATACAACTGTAATAACTCTTTTTAATGTTCTGTTGTCTGTGTCATTTGTGGTGTCTTTTGATGGATGTGGTTGTGTTTTCCTACCTCTTTGCGTGCCTGCTAATGTTTACCAGACATTGGGGGTTTTATGTTGTTGCTTGCTGAATGTTGAATAGTTTTGTATTCCTGTAATTTTTTTTTTTTTTTTTTGAGACAGGGTCTTGCTTTGTCGCCCAGACTGGAGTGCAGTGGTGTGATCTTGCCTCACTGCAACCTCTGCCTCCTGGATTCAAGCGATTCTCTTTACTCAGTCTCCTGAGTAGCTGGGACTGCAGGCACACACCACCATGCCTTGCTAATTTTTTTTTTTTTTTTTTTTTTGAGATGGAGTTTCGCTCTTGTTACCCAGGCTGGAGTGCAATGGCGTGATCTCGGCTCACCGCAACCTCCGCCTCCTGGGTTCAGGCAATTCTCCTGCCTCAGCCTCCTGAGTAGCTGAGATTACAGGCACGTGCCACCATGCCCAGCTAATTTTTTGTATTTTTAGTAGAGACGGGGTTTCACCATGTTGACCAGGATGGTCTCGATCTCTCGACCTCGTGATCCACCCGCCTCGGCCTCCCAAAGTGCTGGGATTACAGGCTTGAGCCACCGCGCCCGGCCTTTTTTTTTTTTTTTTAAAGACAGAGTCTTGCTCTGTTGCCAGGCACCAGGCTGGAGTGCAGTGGTGCAATCTTCGCTCACTTCAATATCTGCCTCCTGGGTTCAAACAGTTCTCCTGCCTCAGCCTCCCGAGTAGCTGGGGCTACAGGCGCACGCCACCATGCCCAGCTAATTTTTGTATGTTTTAGTAGAGATGGGGTTTCACTATGTTGGCCAGGGTGGTCTTGATCTCTTGACCTCGTGATCCGCCTGCCTCGGCCTCCCAAAGTGCTGGTATTACAGGTGTGAGCCACTGCGCCCAGCCAATTTTTGTATTTTTACTAAAGGTGGAGTTTCACCATGTTGACCAGGCTTGTTTCCAATTCGACCTCAAGTGATCTGCCTGCCTCAGTCTCCCAA